AAACTTTTTTGCTTCTTTACTAGTTGACGTAATATCTGCTAAAAATATTGTAAACGTCTGTAAACAGACATTTGTTGAGAAAAATTCTTGCGGTAAAGTAAAGAAAGCTCACACCACCTGACGCGCCCGCCCCGCCTCATTTACGCTGTTTCACTGCTCAGCTGTCGACCCCGTCGGGCAGCCTGGTGCGCAACAGCGAGGTGGCATTCCTCGCGAGCTTAGGGTGAAACTCAAGAAAACACACGAAGAAGAAAATATTTATTTTCTCATGTGTGCAGGAATATTTTGGAAGGAAAAAAGCGGAAAGAGGCGGCTCAATAAGTTTCTCAAGGAAGGTCTGGAACATGAACTCGGCGGTGGGGCGGAACAATGATTGGCGTTACTTAAAAAAGCACCACGATGGTACCCACCCTAGCGATGGAGGGGCTTTACTAGGTTTACTTCACCTAGGTTACACAGGTTGTGGTACTCAGGTGAAAATATCTGAAGCGGGAAAGCACCGTGTTGCTAGCAAAGAGCCCTGGCGTAGCTCATACAAGGTCAAAAAAGGTTGTCTGAAGAGAAAATTTGTTTCTAATCGGAAGAATGCCAGGGGAAAGGGCTTTCACAGGTGGATAGCTTGAATTTAGCTTTGTTGGTGCCCGGCTACTTGCATTCTCACAGAAAAAAAGATCAGTAGGTTCCACTTTTTTTTTCAACATTATGTGTTTGAAAGGACCAGCCTCGAAAGTCTCTGGTCACCAATGTCTGCAGAAGAATAAAAAAAAATGGTCTTCGGGAGAGTTAGGGAGGATGGGAAAGGAGAAGGTTGGTACCGCTTGGGTGGGGGGGGGGGGGGGGGGGGTGCTACTGCTTCTTTTGCAACCCCCTGCCCACGCCCATGGTGGGGATGGTCGGGACCTCTCGTGAATGGTGAATTCCTGGTTGTTACATTCGTGGTGATAATAAAAGTAGTCACTATAAATCCACAGAACCTGATTAGAATTAAATGCAGCAATGTTTTTTTTTTTATTCTTTTCCTTTTGTGAGGGAAAAGCACATAGAAAAAAGGGGGGGGGGGGGTTAGAAAGTGAGAAAGGCGTTCTTGTTGCTGGTCTTTCAAAACCATTTCTCAACCAGCTTCTAAATATATTCGTCAGATGCTGCTGGAGGGTCGACTCGAGCACGAAAATAGACAGGGACGAAGGAGGCAGAGAAAAAGTGCTCACCTGTGTAATGTCCTGTATTATAAAAAAAAAGATGACCTTTAACAGCAAAACATCCCTGCCGGGATTCGAACCCGGGACCTTTGGATTAGAAGTCCAACGCGCTATCCACTGCGCTACAGGGACAAGGTGAGATGAATTACTAGTTTATTCATTTTTATCTATTAGCTTGTAATTTAAGACATTACGTCTTTGCAGATTTTTTCCCTGCAGCGAATACATGCGCTCTTTGCCGACTTGAATACTGTGGGCGGCAGTCCGCGCATTTCGTTGCACCGATCATGCTGATGCAGGTCGATAATTATTTCGCCGTTTTTTATTTTGGCCTCGTACTTTACAGTACTTTATTCCACTCGCGTTTCATACACGGCTAGCTGTATGCCGACTGCACTCGTTTGTTACCACTGAGTTTAGCTAACACACCTTCGACGCTAATCGGCGAGCGTTCGCACTAAACCGAGGAAAAAAAAGCGCTAGAATAGATAAAAAAAGGTTGGCACTGCACCTTCATTTGTAGTGTTCTATAAAACTACGCAGTAATATCCCAGCCAAGATGACAGAGCTACCACGCTAAAGTAGTAATAAAGCCCGATTGAGAGCTAGTACGCGTCTGTCTGATGGAAGCGTGAGCGCGGTGCCTGCGCAATCTGTCGATCGCGACCAGGGATGATCCGGATTAGACTTCTGCTGCTGCTACACGGTCATTAGCGCCAGGATTTCTCTCTGGGAGGGGAAGGGGGTTGAAACTTGAGATAAAGCTAAAGTACCACATACTAAATAATTATGATAGGTTATAATAATATTATTATTATTATTTATCACGAGACGTCGATGACAATGATCTGAAGTGTTTTTACCGGGAGACCTTGCGCTCGTTCCCCAGCGTTCCCTTGCGTTTCCCCAGCGTGTGTATGCGCCACATCGTCAAAGATATTGACCTTGAAAAACCTTGAGACGGCCAACAAACCGTTAAGCAGTGCACGTACAAAATAAACCAGAAATCGAATGAAACGAGGCGTAACATAGTTCTCAACAGAGATGTCTGGCAAATACTTATTTTTTCTAGCTTTTCAGCTTCGTTTAGTGATTCTGGTGCTGACATGTCGGCTGACTGGCGGTCAAACAGTGCCGTTTAAGAAGAATATGACATATGGTAGAGCGAAAAAAAAAAAAAAAGGAACGCAAGAAAGACACACGGCGACACCTGGCGGGGTGTGCCTTTCTTGTGCCTCAATTATTCTGTATTTTGTGTTTTTACCTGAGTAATCAGTAAATGCGATGCAAACAAGCCCCATTGGCAACTTTAGCAGTTAAAGAACTGCAATTGAGGATTTTCTGGATAATGCCAAAAGAACTTCCTTTGAGCCTCGTCAGACTACAAGTATGATAGTGCACCGTAAATATTGAATATAAGCTTTGCGGTATTGATTATAAGGAATATGTACAGCTCAACGCAGCGTACGTGTAGTAAAATTCCCAGCTTACGGATCAACTGCATTGTAACTACGCTTACCGATTCACAATGCCATTCGGGTGCTCAAGTTTAGCGACTCAAGCATCCTCAGTGATGACTACTCGATGAAAGTATCTGACAGCTGTGTGTGCCGAGTAATCGCTTTCTTTTTGGCTGTAATCAAGGATTCTGGTGCTGTTGCTGCATGTCTTCAATCTCAATGCGGAATCTTTTTCGGGAAGTCGGTGAGGATCGTGTTCGACTGGCACTTCAGTGATGCCTGTGGTCTGCTCGGAAGTGCACTGCGTACCTTCGCGCAGCAGACGCAGAGCACAAATTGTAGCGAGCGAACTGAACGTATGCATGCATGGGTGGCTTTCTTCCGATTTACCACGTGCAAGAAAGAAGGGGTAAAATAAAAGAGAGTCACTCATTGCTTCTGAAAAAAAAAAGCAAGAAAATAACTCTGGCAATGTACCTTTCGCAAGTTCCCAAAGCCATTTTTCCTCATTATACCACGGCGTCTTGCTGCTCCCTTCTTCGCAACTGTAAGTTTTGCCGATAGTTATAGCGCGAGAACAGAACGACGACAAAGAGGCAACAAGCCTTCGTGTACTTAATTCTTGTATCTTTATCGTCGTTCTGTTCTCGCGCTATAACTATCGTCACTTCACACCAACCAGCCCAAGCTGCCACACTTGTAGGTTTTGCATGGCAGTCGTGCTTGCTTGGCGCCCCTGCGTGCGGTGCGGGATGGTTGGCGACCATGCTGGCGTATGTACGTGCTTAACCGTTTGAGGGATAATGGGACAGAAACGTCCCACTTTCTCTAAAGAAAACGCTGTCTCAAATAAAAGTGGTCAAACTTGGCGCCAAAAGATTGTGCTTCCATCTATTATAAGACCTGGGTAATACTTTCTGTGGCAGTTTTGAAGTCGTTTCATAGATGGCGCTAGATACACATTTAAAATCTGTTTTGTTTTGATCGCGGTGTTCCGAGCTTTTGCTCCCGTTGGACTGGATTTACGAGAGTTCAGGATGAATGGTAAGATTTTCCTTTCTTGCCCTTCTAGATATGTGTTTGCCGCATATTTTGGTGCCAATATTTTTGTAATCGAAGTATTTGGAGGCGAGCTACGGCAGTCGATGTCAGCATACTCCAAAAGTTCAGGGACGTTTTACTAGGCCTAACTCACGCAAACTCCTGTAGTTGAGATATGTCTCTGTTTATCAATTTCAGCGGACTCACTTTCACGTGAGGAGGCATTGGAGCTATTCTTCAGCCTGCCCGACGAATCAGACACAAGTGAGGGTGAAGCTGAAAGCAGTGATGATGAGTTCGTGCCAGAGCTCGCGCCACGAGACTCGAGTGGCGACGAAGACGAACCTGGGCCATCAACAGGCAAACGAAACACCTAATTCAAAACTTGAAATTAAATTTGATGATATTTTCCCCTCTAATGCGAAACAACTGCGCCTTCAATATTCAAATATTTGGTTAAAAGATTGCTTGACTCATCTGTCCATAAACAACATTATTGCGACGGATGCATCCGTATTGAACGAAAAGGCTGGAATAGGCATCTTCTGTACTTCTCTCGACTGGTCTTTCTCAGTTCGATTACCAGATTACACGCCTATATTCATCGCTGAATTATTCGCTATAATTCTAGCGCTTCGTAAACTTCCTGCAAGCGAATCAGAAGCGGTCATACTTACCGATTCTCTCTCAGTATGCACTGCACTATCTACAGCAAAAAATTTGACATTATTGAGTATGATTAGCAGTTTATTACCAGAAAACCTGAAAAAATTTCACTTGCTACGGATACCGGGCCACTGCGGGATTTATCCGAATGAGATGGCAGACTCGTTAGCCAAAGCATCTTTAAGCGGACCACTCTTACCTATTTTACCTGATTTCGCCTACGTAACAGCACTCAGATATAGAAAGGCTTGTTTGCACAAAGAAATAGAAAAATTATCATTGGATAAAGTCAGAGACTTCGTACATCTAAGATATTGCTGGAACAAACAGTGGTGTGTATCTCGGCAGTTAGAAATTACAAATAGAATTCCTCATCTGAATTACTACCTACATAAAGCTGGACTAACAGCATCTCCGTTGTGTCTCTTTTGCAAGGAATCGGAATCAATAAATCATTTCTTTTTATCCTCCCAACGTTATGCTTATCAAAGGAAAAGATACCTGGTCGAACCAATTGAGAAGCTAGGTTTAAAAATAAACGTGGAACTAATTTTATCCTTCGGAGGGATTACATAAGGTTATAGCCACAAGGAGGTTTTCTCTGCTGTGTGCGAGTACATAAGGGCAACAAAGAGATTACCCTGTTAGCCTATTGTCATTATTTACGGTTACGAGACTATCTGAATGCCTGAATTAGCACACTTGATGATCCTGCCGCCCGGTTCTTGGCCGATCCCCCTTTGTGGGCGAGTGCCAGCAAAGCTGAAGGTTCATCATCATCATCGAACGAAAGAGACGCCGACAAAGAACTTTAATAAACAGGAAAAGAGCCAGCCAGGATTCAATGGAGCCCGATGTCGAAGCAGATGCTGCTGAAGAAGAAATTGGCGAAGAGTGGGGTGAAAGTGAACCAAGCATTTTGGTTGGCAGTCCAAAATTATGGGACCCCGAGTTCACCAAAGAAGCAGTGCCACGCGCAGTAGATTGTTTCGCGTTGTATTTTGACGAAGAAGTGATCGAGATGATATTAAAGCACACTAACCGTGCTGGTGCGCAAAGGTACACGACGAAGTGGGCTGTGCTCACAGCAGATGAGCTAAGAGCCTATTTTGGACTGCTTCTGCTGATGAGCGTGTCACCACGACATTGCTTTTACCATTACTGGAGCCGCGATCCACTTTTCAACTCCGAAGAAATCGCCAAAGTGATGTCGTTCCAAGCGTTTCCAGTACATCATGGACTCCCTTCGTGTGAACGACCACAGCAAAGAAAAGAAAAAAGGGGAAGATGGTTACGATAGGCTTGGCAAACTGCATCCCCTCATTAATAAGCTGAACAGGAGCTTTCAGAAGGAGTATTTGCCATCATCTCATCAGGCCATTGATGAGAGCATGATTCCTTTCAAAGGAAGATCTTCCATGAAGCAGTAGCTTCCAATGAAGCCCATAAAGCGTGGATATAAAGTTTAGTGTAGGGCAGACTCAAGGACAGGCTATTTACTACAATTTCAGGTATATGAAGGAAAGAATGCATCACGACCAGCCATCCAAAGCCTTGGGGAGCATGTCGTGCTTTCCCTCTCAGAGAATGTAAAGCCTGGAACGCAGCTGTTCTTTGATAATTACTTTACGTGCACCAGGCTGATGAAAACTCTCGCCGAGAGGGGCATCCATGCTGCAGGTACTGTCCGCACAAACAGGAAGGATTTGCCTGAGGAACTCAAACGAAGCAATAAGCTAAAGAAAGGAGAGTACCTGTGGTGCGCCAAAGGACAGGTCACAGCTTATCAATGGTACGACACCAAAGATGTCCACCTTTTGTCGAACTTTCATGATCCGACAAAAACTGTGGAAGTGTCACATGGCTCTTCAGTGGCTGTGGTTTGCCTCAAAGCCGTGGCAGACTACAACCTGTGGATGGGAGCGGTTGACAGGTTTGACTAAAAGCGAAATTCCTACACTGCTGACAGACGTTCCGAGAAGTCCTGGTACCACATCTTTTATTTTCTCTTTGACGCCTCTGTTGTCAACGCGTTCATACAGCACAGCGCCAATACTGACATAAGCTACTTGTGGTTTCGTCTTGTGCTGGGACGACAACTGACGAATGGACATACTTTCAGGCACTACGCCAGAACTGCGCCATTCCGAAAAAACAAGCAAGGACAGAAGAATGGACAGAAGATAGTTGGAATTTCGGATGAAATCAGATTCACTGGAAATGACCACTATCCGAAAAAAGGAGCCTCACGGAGAAGGTGCAGGTGGTGCTCAAAAACTGGAAATGAGGTCCACACAAAGTTCACATGTGGCACTTGCAAGGTGCCCCTCTGTCCCACTTGTTTTGGTGCCTTTCACTCTAAGTAGGCACGTAAGTGAAATCGGGAAGTTACCTAAATGAGACAGTGTTGTCCCACTTTTCAACAGCCACCGAATACGCCAATGGGACATATACGTCCCACTTTTTTCTAATAAACTAACCATGCTATCAACCTCAAATCTTTTGCATATCATTTCTAGCGTGTTCAAAAGCTCAAAAAAGCAAAAATAAATTACGTTTGTCTTGGAAAATATAGGCGAACTCACAAAGGGTTAATCGCCATGTGCTTCTGCTGCAGAGCCTCCGCGGTTTGCGGTCGCTTTGACGAACGAGCCGCGCACAAGGCCGCCTTTCTTCTTGCCACTCCAGTGCTCATGGTACGTCCGCTGTCTAGGAGAAAATGCACGACCACCCTTCTTGAGACACCATTTGCCTGCGCAAGCCCCGAAGAAAACAGAAAACACGTGTTTCGAAGCGCCTTCTGATAAACTTTGGGTGGGCATTGTTCATTGTCCCTCTTTAGAGTTCAAAGAGGGGAGGCACGAACCACCCGTCCCCCATCCTCGGCTGCGGGCAACGCACTCGAAGTGTGAGAAGTCGGCGAAACTTTTTTGCTTTTTTTTTTCAGTAGCTGAGTACGCAAGCAGTTCTTCGATCATGTGGTTTCACTTTGAAGACGCGTGCGCAGCGTCGTTACCGGTTTAGAACTGGCCCTAGCTCGTCTTTTATCCCTCATATTTCGGAGTTCGAGTGTGTGTGGCAGCAGCGATAGTGGACGGGCCACTCATGTTCTTACTATCACCCGACTCAGCCTTCCACGAATGGCACGTCGCCCGAGTTCGCTTCAAACGTGCGCCTCGGGCAACGGACAGTGATATGTTTCTGTCGTGGTGTTGATAGGGGGAATACTGATGCTGCTTTTCTAAGATTGCATCGTTGTGTTTTTGGTTTGAATAACCAATCTTGGGTAACCGTTTTTGGTGAAAGTGCTAAATATATCGTGTTCTTTTTTCTTTTTTTAGTTGTATTCTGCACTGGATTGTGGCTCTTCGCATTACAGTCTTTACTACTGATGTATCGCGGATTTTCGGGTGGTCTGAAGTGAACCGACGATATCAGTTAGGGTAGGTGTGCTTGCAATTTTGTTTTCAGGTTGCGAGAACATCCAAAAGCGACAATGAGCCTCTGTTTCAAGAGGAACTGAATACTTGTTCAATAAATTTAGATGAGAGAATAAATGCGACTTGAGGTCTCATGAAACAGCAGTCCTTCGGATAAATCTGGTCCTTGAGGAGGTACGGCTACGGTTGGAATGAAATAAAAGCATGTTCCTTGGCATGTTTCATTGTTACATTTGCCGCGGCGACTTGCAGACATGGGCTCAGAGTTCCCGAGAAAGCTTGTATATTTAACAAACTTAATGCATTGTGATGAGGCAAGAAAAAAAAAAAAGAGTCGCACAATGTATCTGAAAAGGCAAGGGTGCCTGAAATACTTCTTTCCTTTTTTTGTTTCAGAGGATCGATAGTTAACTTGATTTCATCCTGCCAATTTGAATTATACACCGTTTGCACATCAACAGTGACGCTAATTCGAAAGACTTTAAATCTAAAGAGCATTGTAGCGGCGACACGCGTTTGCCTTCGTTGTTACTTCGTGTTTTGAGGAACTCGTTTGTCATGCAAAAAGAATGTTTTTCGGCAAGTTGTGTACTTATTGTTGACAATTTAAAGGAAAACAAGCTACGTGACGCGCACAATTCATGCTCACTATAATGTAAAGTATTTGGGAAAAAGTAACGAAACTGCCACCGGCATCGAAACTGGAAATGGGCACCACGTGTTTCACTTCTATAGCGAGTAAGGCCATTTAATGAGCTTGCCTGTTATTTCTGTAATATTAGCTGCATGACTCTTTATTTGAAGAATGTTGCACATTTAAAGCAACTTGAGTGGAATGTTATTACTTTGCAGCTTCGTCACATCACACCTTTAGGACCATTAAATCAAGCCTTGTGAGGCCGATAATTTAGTGGTATCTAGGCACTTGAAATCTTAATCTCTAATTGCATTAGGAGCGTCCAAGTGAACCAGGTATTTGCATGTATGCAAGTCAGTGCAGTAGATTTGCCCGTGTGAACCGGATAATGTTATAAACGGTGAACAACGCTGCGAACTCTTGTTCTGAACATACATGTATGAAAGGGAAAGAAGACAACCACCCGTTTGTAGCACGAAGCCACAAGGAAATTCATACGAATTTCTTAGAAAGAAAGCCTCTTAGTTGCCGAAAAATTTGTCCTGGTACGTGGTTCGAACCAGGACCAACACCTATCTGGAGCAGTCTCTCTGTCAATTGAGCTAACCAGGAAGCTAGCATTTGACAGCGCGAGGGTGTACTCCTCGACAACTCGAAGCACATGGACACAAGTATTACAAATGTATGCTGGAAATGTTGCTCATTTTCAACATACATGTAAGTAACATTGCATACCCAGCTGGTTGAGCTGCTAGATGTAATACATTTTGAAGTGACATGCACTGTGCACCGAAGCCAAGTCACGCTGCGAACTCTTGTTCTGAACATACATGTATGAAAGGGAAAGAAGACAACCACCCGTTTGTAGCACGAAGCCACAAGGAAATTCATACGAATTTCTTAGAAAGAAAGCCTCTTAGTTGCCAAAAAATTCGTCCTGGTACGTGTTTCGAACCAGGACCAACACCTATCTGGAGCAGTCTCTCTGCCAAATGAGCTAACCAGGAAGCTAGCATTTGACAGCGCGAGGGTATACTCCTCGACAACTGCAAGCACATGGACACAAGTATTACAAATGTATGCTGCAAATGTTGCTCATTTTCAACATACATGTAAGTAGCATTGCATACCCAGCTGGTTGAGCTGCTAGATGTAACACATTTTGAAGTGACATGCACTGTGCACCGAAGCCAAGTCACGCAGGGCATCGTCATTGTACACAGCCCCTCTTCTTCCAAGAATAAAATAAAAACGGTCAGACTGATGACTCGTGAAAGCACCTTTTTTTTTTTTTGTACAGAGCTGCTTCACTGGAAGTGAGTGCAGCCCAAGCCACAGATACTCTTTCAGTATAGGAGTAGATATGTGAATATGACATAATTAATGGAATAAATCAGGCAATTTTGCCATCAAGCCACTTTTTGGATTGAAACGACAGCAACTTGATAACAAGGCGAGGGGGGGTGTCGACCTCTGGTGGGGGGCTTTTGTGAGGGGGGGTCGACCTCTGGTGGGGGGAATTAAAACCCCTGATTCCCGCCCCCTTCGGTGCACCACTGATGTAGGCGACTCGGCGACAAGGACATTGGGGCATATAAGAGCGGGGTTAGGTCGGCCTTGGGGGGGGGGGGGGGGGGGTAAACCCTCTACTCCCCTGTCGGTGCACCAATGTACACGGTTACTACTTTCAACTGCGATCAGGCCTGATCGGGATCAAGGCGACCACGATTGTTGCATCGCGATCTGGCTCTGCGTGCCAAGATTGATACTGATTAGTGCGGACCATGTAGCAGCGACCAGGGTTCACGCGATTTAAAAATCCAGATTTGGATTGGCGCTGATAGCGACGATAAGTGCTCGTGTGACACTGGTATTGCAACGGCATCACACGGGCACTTCTACTTTCATATGAACGCGATCAAAGCCGATCCAGATCCGATAATCGCAATCAAGAAAGGTTCACGGTCCGAACTATGGTGGCTAGAAGGGGAGGTGTGAGCAACGGCGCGCCAGAGACGCAGCTGTCTTTTAGGACGATGCACCGAGGGCTCGCGCAGCCGACAGCAGTGCGATCGCCTCACAGCGTTGTTCAGCAAAAAACCCGGCGACCGTCTGCGGTCCGCACGGACGGCCGAGGAACGCGTTTCTGCAAACGCGTACCCACGCAACCCGTACGCGTGGATGCGTCGTGTCACGGCGATTGGTCGAACGCGCTCACTGCCTCATGCACCCAATTCCATGCAGATTCCCAGAAACATCTGGTCTCAACTGCGCATCGCACACATTCCCCGCAATATGCACCCTGCGCACAACATCGGTCGGCGTAGGGCCAGGGGTAGAGCTCTGCTTGAGCACGTCCGTAGCAACCCCACTGATGCAAGCTTTGTGGATGCTGCGCCATATGTCCAACAAGAGGCATTCGCTGTTTCCATCGTCGACTCAAATTCCAGGCTCACTTGCTCCGCCACGGTGCGCACATCGAAGCCCGTGATAGCCGAACAGGTTGCAATAGCGCTGACTATGCTGGATAGTCGCAGAGAGTCAATATACAGCGACTCCAAGGCGGCTATCAAAGCCTACGAAACCGGGATGGTAGCCCCTCAGACCTTCCGCATTCTCCAAAGCGTCAAGAGTATCACGCCCCGTTTTCTCACTTGGTTTCCTGCTCACTTGGGTTCGATTGAGGGCTCTACCTCTAACCTGAACGAGGGCGCGCACGAGGCCGCACGAGGACTCACTGACCGCGCCGCCTCCACAGTCCCTCTGCCTCGCTGGGAACCCTACTTACGTTCAACGAAATAACAAAGCACTTCTATCTGTCAAGAAGGGTATTTCCTCTCCCACACCCGGCCTTGTGCAGAGCTCAGGCAGTCACCCTAAGACTATTGCAAGCCAGTGTGTATTCTAACCCTGCGGTTCTTCATGCCATCTACCCTGAAGGGTATCTAAGCGTGGATTGCCCTGCTTGTGGACTGTTAGCCACATTCAATCATGTGTTGTGGGAATGTGAAGCCATCGGCCCCGCCCTTAGTGAGGACAGGTGGGCTGCGCTCTCACGCAGCCCCGAACTTAAGGATCAAACCCTGGCCGTCCAGAGTGCCCGTGAACGGGCCACCAAGCTCGGCTTGACGGTCTCTGTTGGATTAGCCCGGTGGCGCGGGGTCTCCCCTGCGTCTTTTCAGGAGAAAAATAAAGTTTTAATAAATCAATCAATCAATCCGCCACACCCACGCTCGCGCAGACGACGACAAGCCACCTGCCGACGTCATGAAAATGTGCCGCACCGGCTTGCGCGGCACAGCGTATCCCCACCGATGCTAACACCTCCTTCTCTGCTCCGGCGACTGGAGCGGGAAAGTTAAGATGGCGTCGCCAGCTGCTGCACTTTATTAGATGCGAAGCAGCTCCTTGACTATCCTGTGTAACGCTGTCCCTCTGTCCGCACCGCTCCCCTCGCCCCGCAGGTGTTGGAGCGGTGCCAAGTAGCTCAGTGCTCAATGAAGTCTCTCTCCCTCGCCTGCCGCGCGCCAGCTCTTTCGCTTCACCCTCTTGACCGCTCGCAACGGTCGAGCCCGCTCCTCACGTGAGCATCATCTCACCCACACCACCTCTCTCAATCCAACATCCTAGCGGGTGGTGCTCTATCTGTCCACGAGAAGCCACCAGCCGGCGGGTGCGCGTGGCTCGAGAATCTCGTGGCGCCGACAATGTGGACAGCGCGCCGCTGCTTGCCGCGCGATCGCGCCGACGGGCGAGACCCCGTCGCGGCATGCTTCCCGCTATAGTGTGCGCGTACCTTTCCCGGCTGTCGCCGGCGTTGAGAGGGTTTAGCGAAGCCGATCGCGTCCGCGAATGGCAACGTCAGCACCGACGAGGCGCGAGCCAGGCAAGCCGAACGCAAGCGTCGGCAGTAAAAGACCAGCGACACCTACGAGGTGCGAGTCAAAAACACCGATCGCGTGCGAGAATACAGACGGCGCGCGGGTAGCACCGACGAGACGCGAGCCAAGGAAGCCGAGCGTAAGCGTCTTCATTGCGTCCCGCTTCCCGTGTCTTTGCGTTTCAAACAAACGTTTACTCGAGTAAATGCTACACCGAGTTTCGTTTCCAACCGTTCTTCCAGCAGCTGCGTCGGCGCCCGTTTCAACCGGGTCAACGCCGTGCGCACCGCTGTTGCTTCACATCCCATTAGGGTTCCCTTCAGGAAGATGGTTCATAGTTTTTTGCGCGCTTTCTGGCTCAGTCTTCTCGCAGAAAGTGTGGCATTTTGACAATTTACTGTTATGAGAAAATTTGTTTTACTGCACAGATTTCCAAAACAGAGAATGAATGAATAGACTTTATTTAAAGTTCGGCAGTTTTACCGGGTGAGGTGGGGGAAGAGGGTATTAACCCCTGAAAAAACTTTTTTTATCGCAAAGTAACATTTCTGAATAAAAGCCAAAAATACATTGCAAATAAAATGCAGCGATTCAAGTGCTGGGCATTCTCACCTGCCTGCTGGATGCCATAGGTTTTTAAGGCAAATACGATCAATTTAAATTCCTGTTTAAACATATTTGAAACAGTAAGTGCAAATTAAATCAATTGGTCATACGATGCTGAACTATGGCAACAATGGTCTTACTTTAACGTAATACACACTGGAATTAAAAACTTGCCAAGCATTGCAAACATACATGCTTTATCGCATCACCTGTCACGTACAAATAGAAGCTAGAATAAAACTTTAATTTAACCGACAGTGGTTGAGGTGCTATGACCAGTGCACAGTCAATTCAAATCACAGATCATCTTGGGGAAAGGAAGAAGTGAGCGGATATTGTTGTACAGCACAAGTGCATAGCAAGGGATGTGCTATCCCCACCATTACAAGCATCCAGACTTTTGTTAAGCCAGACCTCAAAGGAGCTTATGGCATACTTAGATAAGTAATGCACACAATTACTGCTATTGACAGTAATTAGCAGATATGAGATCAAATTTTTACTAGCATTTTTTCATCCACGAACAAAATCCAACTGAAGAGCAAACATATGTGCCCAGGCACTGGGGCATGCAGATTCACAAGAAACTGAAAATTTCTAGCAATGAGAAATTAGTAGCCACTGTAAGGTGGCCTGTAGATTTAGACCCATAGCATGGCAAAAGAATAAAGAGTTCACAATTGGCAACCAGACCCTAAAATATTCACAAGAGTGTGCAAATGTAGGTCAGCTGCTGACAGAACAGCCTTTTCGTAAAAAAAAATTCACCGCAGAATACTGGTGGTTGAGACTGTTTACCACAGGCATTCCTATATGTATCATGATTTGCAGCTTACCTACAGTCCCTAGAGTGAAAAGTATACAGTTACTGCATTGTGCAAGTACTAATATATGGGGCTGAAACAAATGATACACATAACATTCAGAGATAGGAAGACAGCAAAGGAGACCAGAGGAAATGGGTGCAGCTTATACTCTTTTATGACATTAAAAAAGAAATGTATATGGGCAAATCATATGCTTTAAAGAGTAGAGAACCGGCAGTCAGAGAGACAGAATAGTTACCAATAGATAGGAAATGCAGCCATGATCATGATGGTAGAGAGTTAAATGGGGTGATAAAATTTACAGGCATAAAATGGAATGTGCTTGCTCAGGACAAGGTAAACTGGCGATCATTTGGAGAGGCCTTCATCCTGCAGTGGACACAAAATACATCTACGAAGGTAATGTTTTGGAGATGTGCTATAAATAACATCAATTTGAGAAGTACATAAAACAGGAACTTGTTTAGGGCATTTTCGCATTTTAAGAGGCAGTGGTCAATCCTAAGGCCACTTGAGTTAAATTTGCCATAAATGAGCAGCATATACCACTGAATCAATTGTTGGCAGACTCTGGGCAGGAAGTGGTACAGCCTTCTTGTGGCGACCTTCTCATGGCACCTGAGCAGACACATGCGTCAGGTGTTTGCTGTTACGACACACGTCCCAGCATGTTGCTTCAGAGATATTTTGGTGAGCTGCAGGCACGGTGTTATCCTGAAACTCATATTTGGAATAAGAAGGTATGTATGGGAGATTTTTTATGTATTTAACGTTCTATACTTACAGAGTGCACAAAACAGTGTCATGCCTAAGTACGTTAGCATGGCCACTCATGCTTACTTAAAAAAAAAAAAACACCTTTAAGAGTCCCTGGAACGGTTTTTTCACATTTTATTTTCGATTAGACCACTACTGGAGCAAATCATTGGCACCAGAGTTTATTTGAAACACACTTTATTAACAGAGCTAAGAGTACTAAATAAGTACCCTCCTCTTATGCTCCGCCTTTCACCTGCAACTGCCCTCAACTCTTCCTTTGAGCGCTCGTTGCACAGCCAATCAGATCAGCTGAAAATGATGACGTCAGTGGGGCAGAGCGTGTTGCTTGGTTTTATGGGCAGTTGAAAACGCGTTTAACCGAGTCGCAGTGATCTGGAGCGTTTGAGGCTTTAATGCGTTGTAATAAATTACACAGTTTATGCAGAGAGCTCAAATCGGTCTCTAAATTACCCTTGGGACTTGGTCTACCGGCGCAATGTGTTTGTAAAAAATCGTCGAAACCGTTTCAGGGTTCCTTTCAGCACCCATTTACACACGCTAAAACTGCACCTGGGTGCTAAAGAAGGAGTCTTAAAATAATTATCTGCTGGCTGCTACAGCATACAATACTTTGACGTGGGGGTTATTAGTAACTTATAGCAAAAAAAAAAAGGTATGAAACTTTTGAGTCGGTAGACTTTTAGAGACAGACAACTGGGCAGAACGTGTCGCGAACATTTTCAAAGAGTTTGCCCAGCTCGCTCACACTGCCGTTCTTCCTCAGTGTCGCAAGAAATCGGTAAAAATGAAAAGGCTGAATTATGGACACACACTTAAGCTTTCTTTTCGTGATTTGAACATTTGTATGTGTAAATTCTGTTGGAAAGTTGCAAAAACAAGACATGTCGCATTGTTGGGCAGAAAAACCTCGGTACTACCCAAATGAGTCGTCCGGATTGCTGTACGAGGAATGTTTAGCCGCACCAGTATTCGTGCTTAAAGTTACAGTATGTATATTATCAGGCCTCTTGCTTTATTTTATGCTTATAAAAAAAGGAGTCGATACTAAGAAGCTCTGTGCCTTTGCAGCTACCAGGAACCAGTGTCAAGCCTTCACATGTGTGTGTAGTGGTGAACACGCATGCATGATGCTCTGCACAGCACGAACACGAATTACTGCAAAACAGACTTGATTGACAAGGCCTCATTTGTCTGCCTCAATATAATCACTACTGCACTGAACCTACTACTACTGACAGCATGCGTTGTTTGAACTTCATTGGTGCCACACATCATACAATTCTGATGAATGTTTTACTGTGCCTTCCACCATACCATTCCATGATTTAGACAGTCCAGCTCTGACCGGTAAGCTTTGTAATGAATAATAATAAAAAAAGAGGTACCATAAAATTGGTTGTCAGTCCCTTTAAAGAAAGAGAGAGCAGCTATATTAAGAATAAACAAAGAAAAAAAAGGAAAAGGAGGGAAAAAAAGGAGGCAGCCAGTTTTTTTTATTTAATAAAACTGTAGCCTTGCCTTGCATACAGTATTAATGTGCTCAGGAAAGAACTGCTATGTGACTGTACATTTTTTTTTTACATGCTCAAAAAAGTGCTAACAGAGCTCTTTTGCACAACCATTGCCTTGCAATGAATAGACAAGGTGTACAGCCATGAACAGTATATAACATAACATTGAAATTACCTTTGAGAGGCCATAGTGGATAATCGCATTAGCAAAGCACAAAAGTGTTCATATTACTAAATGTTCACTCAGAAATGCAAAGCTCTTGCCAACCAATATCCGAGGCCTGTACGTGCATATTGCAGGTAATCAATTGTTGCTTAAGTACCAATTCGGTGTTCCCTTTCATATTGCTCACGACTCTACGTTGCGCATGTGACAAAAATACTTGAGGCAGAGAGAGTTGTAGCAAAAATTTCCTTTGTTCTTGTTGGTTAGACATGCTGGTGTGTCCACCTTTCACCGTCCCTGTTTCTCCTCTTCCGAATCGCGGTTTACTACGAAAACACTTGCTGCTTTTGTTAAAAAAAAAAAAGAGTATTATGCATGGCAGTAAACGAAAAACACAGATGTGATACGCTGCACATTATCTCGCACTTCAGTCAGAGTGAAAATTCAAAAAGACTCGTACACAAGTTCACTTAACATTTTATATATACAGTACAGATTATTGCACAAGTGACATACACAATGCTTCTGAATGCAAGTACAGCAACAACAACGCTGATAAACATGTGGCAGTTGCCAAAGTGTACACCTGGTTACATCCATTGGACCTATGACACAGTTGCCAGCTGAACAAAAATTGTGGCTGCACATGTCAAAGCACTTAGATCAATGAAATAAACAGTATATGCTTATGATTAGTTTAGAAAGCAGACAACCTGGTCAGCAATGTTATGCACACAATAGTTAATGTAATATTTAACACCATTTCTTAATTTTGAAATTAAAAAAAATTGCAGCACAAGCTAGAAAGTTGTGCTATGATTCCTCTTCAGTAACTGGTAAACTAATCCAGCTATCAACAATAATCATTATGACAGCAGTACAGGTGATTCACTAGTAATACAATGAGTGCCTCTATTATAAGTCATGCATGCCTCACTGAATCGCGTATGATTGCTGAGTACAGGTGTGTGTGTGCAAAGCAAACAATACATCCATTAGTTATATGATGCGAAAGCTGGCAGATAGTTCAATATTCAAAAAAATTTCCTTTGAAAATCTGTGTTTTTTGTACGATCATCATACCAAACAAAACGTACTGAATGCTTACCGATAATATTTCTTACATTTCTTGGGGAGGGGGGGGGAGGTTAGTAAGATTCAAATGCAGTCATATGCAAGACAGGTCTCTCACACATTAAACTTGAACACTATAGAATCTAATAACATTTATTGTTTGCACTATATAACGACACTACACAAACTATGAACCGCAAAGCCATTGGTTATTCTGTCATGCAAATTAACATGACATTTCAAAAGACACATACACACAGGTGCCCCATACGACAAGGACCAACACCTATTATCAACAAATAAATAGCTTATCTTCAATTCTGTGAAAGCATAAGGCATTTGTAAATGGTAGTTCATTGTGATTAGTATGCGTACACCATAGGCATAATCATTTTTTCCGCAGCTTATGGAGACTGCAGAAAGTGAACTAAGGCCAAAAATCATGGTCACTTCGCACAAACTTGCAGAAATTGTGGCTTACCTGTTTCTCTTTATTAATTTTATAAGAGCACCAGTGAGAGCCACTCAATGTCAACACAGACCATTACTTTAGATACAATTCTTAATGTATTCAAGCACCATGGGGCAAAAATGTGAAGAATAAAACATCTGCTTTAACCAAGATAAAATGAACAGTTGTACTTATCATGGAGCTTGGTGCATGTCACATGGGGCAACGGCAAGTCTCTCAAAAATTAGACAAGTGGCAAATAAGCTCCCTACAACGGAAGATATCAGAAAAACTGCCCTTGGACAAAGTGCAGCAGATCAGCAAGAAAACCTACAGTTTTGCAAACACACACAGAAATTAAGAAGTGGCAATGAAATCAGCACACAACATGTCAACCTTGAAGTGTCCAAGAGATAAATAACAATGCTTTCTTTTAAAAAGTTAAAAATGGCCCTGTGGCAGTAACATTTCTGTGCCAACCAGCACAGCATTTCCCCTCTAAGTGACTAACAAACCTGGCACACGCCTAGCAGAAAAAGCCTGAAACGCAGGCAGTAATAAGAATATTACATACAATCTAGTAGCCAGGTTTGTATCTATACAGCAGTGTCACATTCTGACTTGTAAATATGTTAAAAATGTGCCGCGTCAGATTAAAAAATGCGGTTTGTACGCTGTCTGTCAGCCCTCGGCGTTTTGTACGAGAATAATGCGCCAGTTCACCCATACACGCCATATTTATATACGAGCGTGCATGCAGGCATGTGTATATGCTATACAGATCATAATGAAACTACACACATTTTTCACGACAGGGCATGACAAACACAAACTGCAGTAAATCTGCAGGACCATGCGAGTGAAAGCTCATTTATTATGTAAAAGGGACTGAAGAGCTGACAGTGTGGTAACAACTTAATGCTTTCAACTATCGGTCCATCACTTCTAGCTGCACAAGCTTAAAAACACAAAGATGGCCACACATCACAAAATTGAATAAAAAAAGCTGAATTTTTGCTTTGTGTGACACACAACTGCGCTACCCCACAGCCAGTGAATTTGGCTGGTGTCAACAGGGCTACTGTCAACTGAGGAGCTGACATTTGTCTTGCGAGATTGGCACAAGGCATGCGCGTATTTCAAAAAAAAAAAAAAGAAGAAAAAAAGAAAAGCTGTGTCAAAAACGGCATTAATTTACAATGGACCAGGTGAGTCACAAAGTCCACCTTGCTTTAGCTGTGCCCACTTTTGGCTGTGTTTTACTGAAGTGATCCATGATGTTAAACAGGTGTGTTTGTAGTGAAGATGTGTGTCAGACACAGCACAATGCATGATGTACCTGTTGTGAACAATTAAACACATAAGAAACTAATTTCATGAAATGTTGACTTGTTGTGTCCGGTTTGCACTCCGGATGGTAAGAAAAGAGACATTCCAATGCTACACAAGTGATGTCGCACTTCCCACTATTCTGAATATGGATTGTCACCATATCCAATTCATAACCTTCACCTTACAAAGGTGGCCGTATACAAAGGTACCCTCTCGTAAGCAGCACACTATGTCTGTGCACAAGATTACATACCCATAGTGCACCTAAGTAGTGATGTTGAACAGCCTTGCAACATCATGCGAGCTCTGCAAGGCTGTAGTCAAAGACTGTGATGTTCAGGAGACAGTGAGATGAGGCAAAATGCTACAACGCTGATAGTGTCCCAAGTGCCTCCACTGTTGAGTTGGATGTTCTTCAAACTAAAAAACAAAACATGAGGCAAAGGTAAGTTTAATGGCTCTACTCATCACAAAAAGGGATACATGTTACACAAAAGGACTATCACCACTTGTAACAAGTTCTACTGCATGAGTATGAAGGTCTCGTTTTCTAATTTATATATATATTTTAGATGCCTATTAACTTGTTACTGCTGCAGCCTTGTACATTACATGTGAAAAAAACTGAAACAACCAACAGTACAAAAAAAAAAAAGGAGGTCAAGGCCAGCAGATTTTTGACTGACCTTAACTCTGTGTTGTAACTGACTGCCAACATTTACTTTCTGATTACCTGGAACTACATTTTTTACCTAAACAAATCATTAGAATGTGTAATTTTTCACGAAAGTTTTCATGTCCTAATCCCATTTCCTTCAATGGCAAAACAAGGCATGCGATAGCAACAAATTTGAATGTCAGACTAATTAAAGGGGCCCTGCAACACTTTCTGAGCATGATCAGAAAACACTGCCTACTGGCAGATGAAATTCATGAGAACAAGCGATCCAAACATTACAGCATTGCATGTGGTTTGGAATTTACTATCAATTCACTAAGTTAGCTAGAAATTGCTCCCTCTTCTCTCTGCAAATAATGCCACATACCCAAATCCATGGTGACTGGCTGATTTGAGCATTGCAGGCTGCACTTTTACTATGGCTACCACAAAATGCTGCCACATGCCTGCTCACAATCACACTGAAAGTGGCAGTCAGTGAGAAGAAAAAAGAAAAAAAAGTGCTCAAGGTCATGACGCGCACTGACGAAAGGACACGTCTTCTTGCCTCCTTGTCATACTCCTCTGCGCATAGCTTTCAGAATGCTCATTGGTACAAAAGGAGATAATGATTGATACATGGGGTTTAACGTCCCAAAACCACCATAATATTATGAGAGACGCTGTAGTGGAGGGCTCCGGAAATTTCGACCACCTGGGGTTCTTTAACGTGTACCCAAACTTGAGCACACGGGGGTACAAAAGGAGAGAGAAATGACTTGAAGGGTGTTACAAACTCTTGGAACTTCACTTGGTACTTGATGGATACTAAAATTTTTCTTCAGGGATGCGATTTGTGAAGCGTCATGCGCAAATAGTGACACTATTTCATTTTTACTTAAAGAAGTGTTGCAGGGCCCCTACAAAGCTAGTAGCTACACTTTGGAACCCAATCAGACGTACTAAAAAAAAAGTTGTTGTGAGAGAACTCAGCCACAGCAGTCAGCAAAGCTATCTTAGTGCTGTTGTTTTGATGCAAACTACACGGCATGCACAAAGTTATCAGTGGCATTCTGCTGATCCCTGTCAACATAAGGCATGCAGAACGGTAAATGGCTAATCAAAGTTCTGGAAAAAACTTCAACCAAAAGAATTTAATAAAAGAGCAAAAAAAAAAACAAAAACAAATGAACAACTGCTATTTAATAATAACGAGCTGCCCATACTGAATAATTAGTGAAGGAAAATTGGATATTTCAGCTAATTCCTAGAAAAGTTCTTTTATGGAAAGGTTTAGTGTACTGCTGCTGCACAGTTTAGTAACCAAGATTTTTGTAACATCAGAAACAATAACCATGCACTAAATGCTCATGTTACTAAATTACTGCACTTTAGCAGATTCTATACGGCTGTAGGTAATCAGCAGTTACATGCACATTATAATTACAAGTCAACTAAAATTCTGATTGATTGATTTGTGGGGTTTAACGTCCCAAAACCACCATACGATTATGAGAGACGCCGTAGTGGAGGGCTCCGGAAATTTCGACCACCTGGGGTTCTTTAACGTGCACCCAAATCTGAGCACATGGGCCTACGACATTTCCGCCTCCATCGGAAATGCATAGCCACAGCCGGGATTTGAACCCGCGACCTGCGGGTCAGCAGCCGAGTACCTTAGCCACTAGACCACCGCGGCGGGGCGTCAACTAAAATTCTGCTGTGCACTCTTTATATGCGGGTATGCTTTTATTCCTTCTACCAGCAACGTCAGCATAATTTTGGCTTCGACATTTATTTGAGGCCAAAACCATCTTTTGTAATCACATAATTAGTTGTCCACGTTAGTGCTATGAAATTACAACTCATCAACTCTATTGTATCCTATAATTTCTCGCTTGCACTTCATTTCTCGAATGTACATGCAGCTTTTTTGGTTACTGTCTAAAATACATATAACTAATTGATTCAATTTTATACCAATTTTTTAAAAACATATTAAGCCAACTTAAACCGAAACATCTCCAATGTAGTCAATTGCTACAGCAGCCAAGTCTACTAATAATATAACCATAGAGGCATGATAAGACAATCCAAGATTTATGGATCATCCAAACAAACACTTGCATTAATTAGTGCAGGGATCAGCGCAACAACCAAAATGATCAGAGAACGATACACTACACTACTAATTTATGTTTAGAATTACAGAGAGCTGAGCTAGAAGAAATGTACTCATTCTTAAAGAGACAAGAGCATGCAAACACAGACACAAGAAGGAAGTTGAGACACCACAAACGTGAAAATGTGTGGTGTCTTCCTTCTTGTGTCTGTGTTTGCACGACCTGTCTCGTTGAGAATTATTTCAAGGGCCAGGCTCCGATTACAAGCTTGCCAACTTGTAAAGTGGACTGCGGCAATCACATTTTCTGGATATGACAGTGTTGTCCGCCGCGCAGACTCTCCTTTTCGAAAAATAAGCGCCTTTTCCTTCGCCTGACCAATTCTCCATGTACGCGCACAGTGATGAAAGCTTGCCCGCGGGCAGCCTCACGTACGACTGAGCTCATTGATTGGTCCTTTGCCCTACAAAACAGAAGCCCCTGGCCCTGCGGTGATGCAGTTTCAGTCGTGCAGTCTGCATTTTCATGTTTCTGCTCTCAGCCGTTTTGTAGAGTCCGAGACTACAGGGAGAAGTATTGCCAGAACGAAAGCCTCCAAGATAAAGAGGCAGCTCGCTACTTTCCTGGTAGAGGAGCGGTGCTCCTCAAACTACGCTTTCGTTCCCCGTGCCGCTAGGACATGTGCTAATGTCAGGGATGCCCTGCTCAACTGTTCGCTGCATGCCAATGGCGTATCGCTGACGTCGCCTCGCGTTGCCGAAGAGGGCGGCGTCAACAGCGACGAGCTACGTCTTTCCCCTCCCTATGGCGGAGAAGGGTGGCGAGGCTGCGCGAAAATTTGAAAACTGTTTAAACGGTTGTTCTAACCTCTGTAACTTTCTCTGTAAAGCACGCATTCGCAAAATTTTTGCAGCAGCATGTGCACATCACAAATGTGCACATACCTCTTTTCATAACAATTTTTGGATCTCGGGGTTGTTAAGTGGCCGGCCCTTTAGGTTATTACACAACAATAAGATAACAAATTAAAAAATTTTTATCATTCACAATTTTTGAAAATTAATGTTCAGCGTATTTCATCAAAGCAAAAAGAACATAGAGCACATTCAAAGTTCACAACATGCACAAAAATATGGCTAAGGACTTGGTTCAAATGCATCATTTCTTGTGTGCACTTTCCATTCAACACCCTTATCTTTCATAAATTCTACTCCTTTCATTAGAGAAAGAAAGAGAGAGAGCCCTACATACCATTGTCAAATGCATTGGGGTTGATCATGCGCAGCAGTTCTGATTCTGGAAGCATTGACATTGCAGAGATATGGTCCATGTTTGGCCCTTGAGCTTGGGAGTGTGCTTGCTGAGCAGACTGTGGTGCTTGATCCGTGGATACACCACTCAAGCTAGTCTCCACAACAAGGGTTTGTGGCTGGCTGACTGGCTGTGCTGCAGCCTCAAATGAAGTCATGCCGAATGCACCAGCACCCATACTGTCCTGGCACTGAGGGTTGACATCAAAGGTTCCAGTCACAGAAAACTGGGCACTTGGTGCTGAGCTCACACCCACTGGGCCTGGATCTATAATAACTTTGTCACCAAACACAACAGGCATCTTGGGATCAGACTGGCTCAGCATACCATTCAGAGAGTCCGGCCAGTTGGTAGCAACCTCTGTCTTGACTCCTGTGCAGGTAAAATCCATACTCTGGACCTGCTGCTCCAGGCTATTGGCTGGCCAGCTTGACAAAGACAACACTGGAGCATCCTTCACCTTCTGTTTCTTGAACTGCTGCTCATCTGTAAAGGACGCTGAAGTGTTCTCCAAGGGCTGCATTTCAGATGACCGACCCTCAAGGTCTGGCTCTGTTGATGCTGACTCGCAGTTCATCTGTCCCCACAGTGGCTTGGCAGCATTCTCAGTTTGGTTTTGGTGTGCTGCAGTCAGAGCACTCCACTGGCTCTCGCACTCGAAGTTGGCTGAGGCAGCAGCTGTGTGGGCAGGGGTGACTGTCTCTGACGCTACTCCCATAAGTTGCTCTACACTGCAAGGAGGCAGCATGCCCTGGTCCGAGTAAAACAGACCAAGGCTTCCCAGCTGCTGCTCATCTGAGGCTTTCAAGGGTTCCTCTCCTGGCAATTCATAGTTTGCCGCACACTTGTCGGGAGCCCCTTCAGGAGCATGAGAGATCTTGCGCTTAAGGTGACATGACTCAGCTGGGCTCGTGTCTTCAGCAACAGTCTTGAGCAGTGCCTGCTGCGTAGCTGATGAAACTACCAGGCTCAACGTGGCAGGTGCTGCTGACTGCTGCTGTGATGGCTGCTGCTGCTGCTGCTGTTGTGCCTGCGGCTGGGATGGCTGTGCTGGCTGCTGCACCACCACAAATTGGATGTTGTTAGGTGCTGGAGCCACCGCACCACTGCCGTTGCCTGGCTTGGGCTGAGACTCTGTCAAAATTCAAGATAGTATTGTAGCATTCTCTAAACACTCAAAAATATGAGATTGCATCCACCTTTTTTCTTTTCTGTTTTTGTGGGACATAAATGCTACAAGCAATATTTTATTGATACCTAGGGTTTAACATCCCAAACTCATGACATGATTATGAGGGCCACTGTAATGCAGGGTGCCGGAAATTTTGACCACCTGTTGGTCTTCAACGTGCACTGAAATCACATGGTACATGGACTTCTAGAATTTCGCCTTCATCAATATGCAACTGCTGTGGCCGGAATTGAATCCCAGACATTCCGGTTGCCAGCCAAGCACTGTGCACAACAGCACTGCGGCAGACTAAATGCAAGACACTATGCAATTCCTAAGAAGGGTATTCCTATGCAACTTTAATTATTCTTTTGAAATGCATCATTAAAATTAATCTTTGCAGACTTCCTGGTTATTCTGAGATTTTTCACAGCCCCTTAAGCATTGAAAAAAAAAAAAAAAGGGTTGCTCAGCAACTGTATTAGCAATGACTGCATTAGATGTCCTACAACCCTAATATTTGAAATTAATCTTTAGTTTTTCCACTATATCAGAAAAAATCTTCACTCTAATCATGACCTGCTACATTGTTTAGGGTTATGGTACTTGAAGGTCGCAGGATCAAGTCCTAGTTTTTTTACAAATACTAGACCCTAATAATTATTTACTAGAGCTATGCAAACAGCAAAATTTTGGGTGCAAAGCAAATTCAAATACTGAAGCGTGAGTGCAAATTGAACTGAATATTTTTTGAATATTTTTATTCTAATTCTAAAATATTTTTGAATAATTTAAAATGAGACTGAAGGAAAAAACAAAATTTTTCTGGACTGATTGATGAAGCACTGAAGAGGGGATGGTGTTTTATAGTTGTCTTATCAAGAATAAGAGAATGCAGAAATTGAATTGTAGTATATACATGGCTTGGTGCAATAAAGTGTTGTCGAATTTCAACTTCTGTGGGAGCCGAACTGATATGGTGGACAAGGATGAGTGCCAGTCGAGTCTGGAGTTCCAAATCTGCCTTGTAGACGTCAACGTATATGAGCGTCTGAAATTTCAGACGCTGAAAACTTTCTGTGTCAAATTTTTTCAGACTTCCTGCCCAATTTTCAGGTCCAAAACGGCACTAACTGAGCCCCCACCTTTGCTACATCTATAATTTAAACGTTGGAACCAGCGTTTTCTTCAGTCAATACAATTGCAACCATAGCAGAGCCTGTAAGGTAGCTTTGCTGCAAAACGAGAATGCAATAGGGTCAAGCACATTAAAAATCTGAAAGGGCTGCTGGCAATCTCAAGGAAGTCTTAAGGATTTGTCTTAAGAAAGCTCGAATAGTTAAATTCCAGTGTGAATTGTATCAAATAGCAAACAATATTAAAAAATATTTGAAATTTCAATTATTCACACACCTCTATATTATTAACTTGTATTACAATATGACACTAACACTAACAAATGCCCAGCCTAAACTGCCCCCTAGGGCATTACTTAGTGCAGTAATAAGAGAAAAGCTGTGATAAAACTTACTGTAAATTAATGCTTAAAGTATAAACACAATTCAACCGAATGAAACAGTCAAGAATTACAGCTTTGTAGGCAGTTGACCCTAGAGCATCATGTTGCATAGGGGCACTGCGCCACATGTTTGCACAAAGGCAATACACGAGAAAATTCTAACCTGGAACGGAAGCTGGCGCAGGTGACAAGGAGATAGTTGTAGTAGGGATGACCAGAGTTTGAACAGGGTGACGCTGTGCCCGTGGTGACGTCCCCGCCAGTAATGGAATCTGAATTATGGTAGGAAGCTGTGTACCCTGAGAACTTCCAAAGGGCTGTGGCTTCAATTCCAGGCTTGACACTGCACATAGTAAAAGAATATATTGCCTTGAGGGTATGCCACACCACCTAATAACGCATATCGTACATGGCATAATGCACACAATGCAAGTTTTTTTTTTTTATTAAGCTTTCTAGGTCCTGGAGTAACCAAATGGCTACTGCTATTTTAAAGGCTACAGATCACCACAATTTTAAATTTCGCTTGTTCAAATTTGTCTTGCCATAATAGGCATATGTTTCAGTCCCAAAGACCAGAGAGGTGGCACCATGTGTCCAGTCATCAAAAACAAGAAAATAAAAATAGCTGTGCATGGCACGAGTCCACAGCTGCGTCCTCAAGATATGTAGTAGTCGTTTTTTTACTTAGAGATAGCATGAATGATGCCACCTATAGCACACTCCATTAGCCATGGATGCCCCAAAGATCACATTGAAAGAAAAAGTCATTTCAGTCTTGTAATTTTGTTGCACAGAAGCATAGTGACTTCAAAAGTTCAGAATATCCATTTTGGATGTGCTTCTAACACTTTTCAGCTATGTACTAGCTAACTGGCTACGCTAGCTACTAGTATCTAACTACTTGTACTAGTAGCTGCTAATACTTGACCAGGATTAGTACAGGTTTTCAAAGTGAAAATTTGGAATATTCAGACTTTCCAGGACCTGTTACAGGTTTTTCAAGGTCTCAAAGCAGCATGCAAATTTAGAATTTTAAATGCGAAACATTTCTTAGCGAACTTCGGCGACTTTGAGTCTGTTTGTCCATCTAACGGCCTACAATATTTAGCTCTCCTGGCCGTTTTGATAATAAAATTTGTACCAAAATTGGTATGGCATAACATAACTGTGTGATGAGCATAGGTGACTAGACATAACAGGAAATCATGACATGTACGTCATGATTTACATGTCATGGTCCTGCTGCCCTTGCAGTGGTTTCGTTCGCATGACATATTGCAAAACTTTTAAGGTATGACTTGATGGATGGCAAACGGAACCGACAGGCCGTAATGTGGAAATCATGACATGCATGTTATGTGTCATGACTTCACGCCACGCTTACGGTGTGGTCGCAGTCGTTTCGCTAGCTTCACATATCATATCATGCTCATAATGTGCTTGCGGCCGTTTCAGCAACTTCACATACACTAAATTTGGTTATTACGTGACGTGAATGAACGACGAAGGTAAATTACATGTCTAAACATGACAATCATGACATGCGTGTTATGTAAAACGTGACTACATGCTATGCTCATAGTGCGCTCGCGGCCATTTCGCTAGCTCCATATATATTAAATTTGGTATTACGTGATGTGAATGGACGACGATGATAAACGACACGTCCAAAGATGATAATCATGATATGTGTGTCATGTACAACATGTCTACATGGTAAGCTCATAGAGTGCTCCACATATACCAAGTTTAGTATCGTCTTATACCTAGCTCCACATACACCAAATTTAGTATCATGTGACGTTAATAGACGTCGAAGGTAAATGACACGTTCAAGCATGATAATCATGACATGCATGTCACGTAAGACTTGACTACATGCTACGCTCATAGTGTGCTCGTGGCCGTCTTGCTAGCTCTACGTACAGTAATACCTCGTTAACTCGAACTTGCATATCTCGAAAAATCGGCTAAGTCGAAATTTTCCGCGGCACCGAACCTTCTTTGTTACGTCCCATGTATTTTTTTCCCTTTATCTCTTTATCTGGATTGGATCGCGGATGTCTCGAAATCTTGAGTGGGAGTGGAATGAAATCCGTCAAATTTTACTTTTTATTTCTTATTTAGCCGTGCCTGCCACTTCGTGGATACTTTTCGCGAACGTGAACTCTGAGCCTAGCGGCATATTAACTTTGTTGAGCAACCCTGTGGAACGTCATGGGACTCCCATGCAGCAGGCCTCGCTCTTTGCCCCACGCTTTGCGTAGTCTGGCTATGGTGGCTCCATACACTGGCGTAGTCCAACATTTTTCTCGTTCGTTTGGCAGTGCTCGTTGTTGTTCTAAGGTGTGATTTTCGTTCAGTCTAATCTGTGCAATGCACGCAGTGTGAATTTAATGCTCAATTTGAGAAGCAGCGGCTTAGCGTGAGGGCAGCAAGCATGACGTCACAAAAGCAGTGCAAGTCGTTAATGCTAGAAAAGAAGGTTACCCTAATTAAGGAAGTGGAGGAAGGATGCCGGTAACGGTGCCGCCGAAAGTGACGCGACTTTTCTCAAGTACGCGCTGTGCGAGGAGGATGTGCCGATGACCGGAGAAATGACAGACGCCAAAATTGTTCAAACGGCCACTAACGTAGGGGGCAGCGGAGACGCCGCCCATGATGAACCATCTCAAGAGGTACCGACATCTGCAGAAACAAGAAATTTGCTGCGTTTTCTTCGAAATAACGTGGAGTGCAGAGGCGGGGAAGATCGTCTGATGCGATGCATGAAGCAGCTGGAGGATCCCTTCCTAGGCCCGAGCACGACCGCAAAGCAGATGAGCATTAGGGAGTTCTCCGTTAAATAAAATGGCAGTGCTGCAAAATACAGCTGGTTAAACGTCTCTTGTGTGATATTTTCATTTCTCTTTTAAACTGTCACCAGAAGAAACATTAGAAACTGCTACTGAAGAGCCAGTAAGTAGTAGTGATTTTGCTAAGCAGCGCTACATTTTTCCCGGCAATTTGCGCAACTTCGCTTATCTCGAAAATCCGCTTATCGTAAAATTTTCCTTGGTTTTTACAACTTCAAGTGGGCGAGGTAGTACTATACCAAATTTGGTATCATGTGATATGAATAAACAATGAAAGTATGTCCAAACATGATAATCATCATATGCGTGTCAAGTAAAACATGATTACATGATATGCTCATAGCATGGTCATCTCTCACGGTTATTTCACTAGATCCACATATACCAAATTTGGTATCATGCGACGTGAATGGACGACGAAGGTAAATGACATGCCCAAACATGATAATCGTGACATGGAGGTCACTTACAGCATAATTCATGTCCTCCTTGTAACATTGTGCTCATTTTAAAGTGACGTGCCAACCTTCATTTATGCTTCGCGTATCATTGATTCCAACTGCATGTGGGATTGGCCAATTTTTTTTTCTCTAAAATTTTCAAATCTGGCTAGTTTTATGGTACTTATGTAAATCACAGCTATAACAAAAAAAATCTAGTAGCCTTGATAGGTTCTCAAGAACACAACACCCACTGAATGCTTACAAGAGTGATTGAGATTAAAAGAATGATTGAGATAGCATTCATTGCTACGCCACATCGACAAACTGAAATTTTTCTAGCGCAGTTCTGCAAAGCAGAACGATGTTTGTTCATGTTAAATTACTGTTTATAAACTGGGGAGTTTGTCAAGTTGACAGCGATCTATGACATTAAGGAGGTCAAAATGTCAATATGGAAGTGCACTGCTCAAGAAATTCAAGGATGTTCAAGGACAAGGAAAAATTCCAGAACTTTCAAGGGCCTTGAAAACCTGTTTTTCCAATTCAACGGTTTTCAAGTACTTCAAGGACCTGTACCTACTCTGTTGGCACTATAGTCATATATAACTTTGATATGTGGGGTTTAACGTCCCAAAACCACCATATGATTATGAGAGACGCCGTAGTGGAAGGCTCCGGAAATTTCGACCACCTGGGGTTCTTTAACGTGCACCCAAATCTGAGCACACAGGCCTACAGCATTTCCGCCTCCATTGGAAATGCAGCCGCAGCAGCCGGGATTCGATCCCGCGACCAGCGGGTCAGCAGCCGAGTACTTTAGCCACTAGACCACCTTGGCGGAGCCATATACAACTTTAGAATTTCAAAGCATTTTCTCCACAAAGGCGGCTGTATACAGGCCTGCTCCAATGGACATGAACTCTAGAATGACATTCTGAGCCAAGTGGCTGGTAACCCTGGCTTTGAAGAACATTGCAGAGTGCATGAGCAGGATTATTTCTTTAGTTACGGAGGTGACAGGCTGGTGTGCTTCGATAATCTGGGTGAAAATTTTCCAGAATTATTATGTTGTATCCAACTACTATAGTACCTGAGGGTCACACAGTGACTATGATCAGCAAGTAAAATCTCTTCAGGTGCCAATTATGCTGCACAGTCAAAGAATGTATCAAATTCACATAGAATGATTCCAAAGCACGTAATATTACATGCCAATAAAAAAAATCAAGCAGTTCATTGTTTGGTGCGAGTTTCAGACATTTGTGATTAACACATAATTAAATATGCCATTATGCTCCAGTCAATCATGTTTCTTTGCAATATAAAAAGATTGAAGACATAGGCCCAACTTGTGTGCATAAGTGGTAATAAAAAGAAAAACAATAGTTTTGACGTTAGTTCTGCAATGCATTACATCAAATGACTAATCGAACATGGTACTACCTTCACCAACTTGATCGTCTACAATAATACGTAGCAAAATTAACCTGGGTTAAAACATGTAGACTATGGAGGAGCTTCAGTTCATCTAATGAGCAATGAATCTTGCTTTCTTTTGACCACAAGTTGACACAACTTGCATAAACAAATTGCGCACACAAACGCAGCCACTGCTGCTTAACTCTTTTCAGCATGGTGGTCAGCCCAGGTAGCCATGTTTTCTTAATTTTTTTCCCTCTTCAAACATGTGATCCCCGCATGTCGGATTTTCAATTGGGCATTTTTTCAAAGCTTTCGGGAATCCGACAGAGATGACGCTACTTCGTTTGGGCTTCAATGAGACATGTTACGTCTGCTTTCTTCCGGCTGCTGCCGTCCTCAATGTGCGCTAGACGGCGGGCCCAATCTATTTTTAGAGATGTGACAATGGACCCCATATATATTTTTAGAGATATAGAAGTATGTACGCTCCCTATTATGTTATTAGTGCAGGAGAGCATGTTGTATGAGTACCTAATGCTAAGGAATATAGAAATAAAGGGCTGTACTGAGTCAGTAGACAGCGCCATGTCAGTGAAGTTGGTAGTCACCTGGGGTGACCACCATGCATAAAGGGTCCTACTAGGCTGATGATACATATCATGAAAGCAACGGGTGCAGGTGCGTCAACCATATAAGGAGAGAATAATGAACGACGTCATGCTGGCAGCTTGCCAACACACCATTGAGCGCCATCAGCATGATAATACCATCATCACTGCGGCTGAGGTTTCGACGAGTGAAGGCGTGTCCTTTTGTGCCTTGGTATCACCTCTAAAAGGTTCCAGGCCAGCCATCACCCAGAAACCCACAATATATATTCTCAAAGTTCAAACTTTCGTGAACTGTGCAATTACTAATATCGACCTTATGCGTTGTTCAGCAGATCGCCTTCAGTCCGCCAACATGAATGAAGCGCCCATAGCAAGTGTATTACTTATGTTTGCCCTTGTTATCTTGGTGGTCGGTGATCATGTTGTCCGAGTTGCTATTACCAAGGAATCTAGAAATGAAAAGCATCGTGACGCCGAAGTTGATCACCTGGGGGGACCACCATGCATGAATTCCCTTAAAAGGGTGATGATATATTATTTTCTATCATTCTAATAGAGCTGTTTTGCAAGATATATAGACGAGAGCACGCCTATCTCCCACCCAGGTGCCTTTGGCGGTATGCCCTCGCTAGCATGGCATGCAGTGGCTCTGGCAGTTTAAAATGCGAAAAAGCGCCTGTTCACACTGCGCCCGCTTATAAAATGTCATCTGGGTACCACTGCGCTATCATCTGATGCGACAACAACCAGCACAAGAGCACTGCCTGTGAAGTTCACAGCGCATCGCGGGAACCGTGCTGGTGTGCTGTTTTGCGATTGCACAGATTTCCGTCCACAATGAAAAACGCTGAGCTCGGCTGCCCTATAGGATATAATCGCAATCAGCAGGGAAAAGTACAAGCCCAGTGAAGAGTACGAGTAAGTATACTAATTACATTTATTAAAGCGCGACTCCAGCTGTTCCACTTTACAGCAGCGATTTGCGTGCAGTCTGCCTATAGTTTGCGACACAAAACTATTGCCATACTCCTTCGCAGGCCGCATGTCAATAATAGGATAATACGCATTACGACTCACGCGTGGTTGCATGCACTACGCATGTTTAATACAACCGTAACGGCCTACTATCGCGATGCAAAGAGATGTGAACGGCGCGGAAAGCACGGCTTTCGACTCGGTCGAACTGCGACATGCCTTGACTGTCACTAGGCGAATCTACTTGAGCTTTTGGCCGGCGTCACCATAGCATTTTAAAATCTTGTTCTCGCTGGCACTTTTGCCCCGCATGTGTTTCGAGTGCCCGGAATGACTGGAAAATTGATACACATGTGGTGCATGAGCCTAAGTTGGAGCCAGATTCTAGCGCTACGTTGACACAGACTTACAGCACAAATTCTGCCTTGTCACAGCCAAGGCACGCTGCAGGTAATGTTGTTCACGTTTCTTTCAGTCGGATAATACGTACCTGATGAAGTTGCTTCCACAGTCTGCAATGCATATGCTGCAGACATTCCGGACTGTCGAGAGTCTCCTCGACGTTTCACACGAAATCAGCATAAAATTCCAGCACAGGAACAGCGCGAAACATGATTACAGCCGCACTTGGGTTGTGATGTTTCGCGTTTGATTTGCAGAGCGTCTGCTTACATGGCAGTTGAGTGTGTTGCGATTGCAACAGATCGCACCACGCGCTTTTCAATATGGCAGCAAGCACTGGGTCGCTGTGTTCTGGTGTATACAAGCGCCCCCAGGAACAAGATGAATGTGTGCTACACACAATACTCATTTGCTCCCGCGGGAAAAGGACCGCCTTGCGGCCTTTAACCAAATGTGCCCAGTAGACCCTAGCTGCACGATGGTCACCTGAGGTAACCACCTGATATCTTTTGAATTAAAATTGCCAATTTTTCTTTTCCTGTGAGGAAATCATTTTCTGCGAAAGAGTTTGCCATTTTATCAATAAAACTCTGTTTCCCACCACAAATGAAGTTGTGTGCATGAAAAAGTTAAGGGGCAAATACAAACATGGATAGAGTGGACTTCGCTTATCGCTACATCTTGTACTACATAACATCCCTCCGGACGAGCAAATGAATAACAAATGTTTTTGCACATTTTATAGATCTTGCATGCTGAAACAGTGGAATTGAATACCAGAAAGTCTGAAAAAAAAAAAAAAAAGCTCGGACTCCCAAGAAAAATAGATTTCATCTCCTGGATTTCAAATTCAACATAGTGAATGTGCTTCTCAAAGCTGACACTAAAAGGCAGCCAAGATAAACTTTCGGTTTAGAGACTAATGAGCAGCCATCACCGAGTGTTGTGAAGTGGAGCAAGGTAATTTCACTTTCACCTGATGAGATGCAGTACGACCAGGTTGGATACTTTCTGCAATATGAAAAGCTCAAATCTCAAATGACGTGCTGCTACTCTGAATGTGCTGGCAAATCAAGACTGAGATGCTTGAAGTGTAGAATGTGCACCTCTGCAATCTGCGTGCAAGTGGGACAGGTTGCGAGTGCAATCGATGTCTATGAGAAGTAGCACACAATATGTGACCAATGTAAATGTGATTGTTGGTTCATGTCATCTTTGAAGACTGCAAAAATTAAGAGCAGACCAATAACACAGTGCTACAATTGCATAAAGGCAACAAACCACGTTTCTATACTCACCAGCAGTAGCATTAGCATTTGGTTTTGCCTTTGTGGCACTCAATGGACCAGCAGATATTTGGCCTCCGCCTACGATTAAACAGAAACCGGTTACACGCCATCTTCCCACTAGTTGCGAAAAGTAAAAGCAAAGCCAAATGGCAGAATAATAGAAGAGAGAAAGACAGAAAAAAAATTATTGAAAGAAAGAACAATGCATTTAAATCCGAATGGATTTAAAGGCTACCCAGCAAGAGATAACATCAAACACCCCCCCTGCCACCATGTCAAAGGTATGAGGGGCAGACTAAAGTGTGCAGCAGCACTTTTTTACACAATTCACTGACAAAGCCCTCCGTTATGTTCCCCTTGTCCTCAGCATGGTGGCAGCTTGAAATCACAGTAAATGTGCTGCAACCTTTGAGCCACCACATTTGCACTCAGGCACACCCACACACACGTTCATGCTCATAGACCAGCCACTCAAAGCCAAGCACATTCATTTATGCTCTCATTTATTCTGCATAAGCCATGCACTGAGATTTCATTATGTCACAAAGATAGCCTGCACTAAACATCTACAAGCCAATAGCACCTGTTGCACAACTATGCCATTAAACTTTTGCATACGGTAAAATGTCCACATCATATCTACCTGCTGTCATCATCGACCATTTGTGCACAGTGCGCTAAGGCAGGTCCATCAAAAAGCTCAGTATGGTGCACAGCTGCATTTTCAAGCAAGCGAATGATTGTATTCTAAAGATACTAACATGATAAAATAAAGCATAGCCAATGATTAGCTCTAAAATACTTCAGCCAAAACCTATCACTATCCAACATCTCAGCCTGAAGTTATTCACAAATACTCTGACGTCATGGCCACCTTTGAATGAATAAACAATACTCTGTTTAATGAACGAATACGCTATGAAATCAATGTTTATTGACTGATAGTTGTGAACAATCTTGCCAAGCTGTATATTGGGTGTGTGCTCAGTTTTTTAACATCAATTATGAAAAGGAGCTATTGTAGTAAATAAAAATCCATAGCAGTCAAAATTTTCTCGAACCCAATTATCTACATTCACTTGTCAATTATTTCATACTGGGACAAAAACTCAAGAGCCACACTAAGAGCTGCCTCAACGTTCGGGGTACGATATGCCTACGCATTTACGGCATTGTGCAAACAATTGAAGGTACTCCAGAAAACAGAGATGTGATTGCCAAATAATGCACTGTGCAACTAGGGACAGGCAATTATTATGCCTTATCAAGATCATGCAAACATTCATATACCCTAAATAAAATTTTCCCGTTACCCGCACTTCTGAAAGCATAGCCACAAATTATTACCAGTGATATGTTGATTTGATGACTGATATGTGGGGTTTATCGTCCCAAAACCACCATATGATTATAAGAGACACTGTAGTGGAGAGCTCTAGATATTTCGACCACCTGGGCTTCTTTAACTTGCTACCAGTGATATGCCACCAGTATATTAAGGCTGTGGACGACGAAATGTTAACAAGCCCATAAAACCATCGTGATGGCCATAAAACCATTGTGATGGACCAGAAAAAAATAATTTAGGCAATTACACAGCCAATGAAATGCACACCTAAATTATTAAAGTTACTGATTAACTAAGCATATAAAAGATCCGTGGAAGTTTTACACTACATGATACACAGAAAAATTATTTAGCAAGTAAGCATGCTGTTCTGGCTTTTGTTGTAGAACTTACATAACTAAAATCTATGAAGTGGACTTTTTATGGTGCAGCCATAACTGGTACTAAAAAGTTTTGAAGCTTTGTGCAACAGATCTGACACATTATCATGGAAAGCAATTGCACATAAGGATGTACCTTCAATAAATTTTCTGAACACCCTGCTACAGAATAAGAATGTATTCTCAGTGCATGCCAAGTGCATACCATGCACCCAGACAAACTTCGTTATTCAACATTCAAATCCTTAAAAGCACCTGGCAGGGAAGAGAGAGAGAGAAGAAAAAAATATGTAAAGAAATCACAACAACCTGGCGTATCACATTCACACACCACCTTCCACACCAATCATTCTCACATGGTCTCAGGAGCCACACAAAGTCACGCTCGACACGGCTGTGTGTCACTCTCGAGGAATCGGGGAGGAGACAGGCACTAGCACATTCTGCCTGAAAGTACAGTCGGAGAAGCATAGGATGAAGGGACCAGGCGCAAGGCAAGTGGCCCAGTGACGTGACAATTATTTCAGACTGCTCGTCCCCGAGGTGAATCCACTCACACCGCACCAAAGGCTGCGACACCAGCACCCCTTCCCACCCAGCGAATGCCCCGGAGAAATATGTATAAGGCTAAGTAGGCGCTCCATAAGTGACATATACGTGGCAGTCAGTTTGTCAACCAGCATCAACCAAGCCACCTGTAAAGAGGCATTGCAACAAGAGTTAACGAAAATCACTTCCACAGGGCAACAGAGGAAAAAAACAAAAACAAAAAAATCCTATTTTACATCTGAAAGAAATAATTACCTCCAAAGCATAGCTGCCAAGTTTTAACGCAGATTATGAAGAACAAGCCAAGCTCAGATATGGCTGACAACAACATTTGAAATGAAAAGAAATAAAGCAAGATCACAAGCTTAAGAAGAGACACAACCCTAGGCATCGAAAGTTTAAAGAATTTTAAACATCTGGCAGCACGAATTGGCAGTCTCTCATTCAACTTGTAGTTCAGTCATTTTTTTTTTTTTTCCATTTATGAACATCATGCCATGGAAATCACTTTTTTCCCTTCTATTATATGTGCTTCTAATGCACTAAAGTACAGTGCAAAATGCAAGACTGCAAGCTTTTCAGGTGTTTTATTTTTAAAAACTGAAAAACCCCAAAATGTTATGCAACACACACCCACCCTTTTATTTATGGCAATGTCAAATCATGCAGAGAACCTCTGTACATTAGGCGACACAGAAAATAACATTGCATACACTTCAATAACAGAAAATAATGTTAACATTTACCTACACAGCTAATACTTGCATGAAATAGGGCCAATGAAATATGATCTTAGCACATGCAGCACTACTAGTGTGGTCATCAAAAGTTTTTAACCCTTTCTGGTCTGGATACTATTAACGTAAGACATTTAGAGCAGCTAAACAAAAAGAGCCAATAAAAATTCTCGAAAGTTTTCAAGAAGGTTTTCTCATGAACTGTGAACTGCCCACATTATATATATATATATATATATATATATATATATTACACGCACACTGCATTAAGACTACAAATTATGTTTTTCTAACCTGATCCGAAGTCTTAATGGTGCGAGTTATCCCACAAAGTACCTAAAGACCACTTCCGTGCCACTTCAGGCAATGAAAAGAGAGCTCTTCAAAGGGTACTGACACAAAATTTCACAGCTATGAGACTGATTTCAGCGAACATTAATATATAATCTACCTAATCACAATAGCAGATATGGCTTATATAAATACTAAAGTTTGCGCATGCAGCTGAGCGCCACAAGCCGCACCTCGTGACATTGGCATTGCCTAAAGTAATCGAAAGGAGACGTCACCACAGCAACTAAGCTCTGAGCTGGTGCAGTGAGTAATAACGACATCACAGTTATCGATGCCCCTTTGCCACGCTTGCACCAACAAACTACTATTTGGTGGCTGTGTCGGAGTGTTGCAAATGTGGCGAATGTGTGGAAAGTGTAGAAGCCCCAAAAAACTTCATAGTACGTCTTTGAAAAATTCAAAGCGCTAATATGACAGGGACAAGGAAAGGCACAACACAAGCGCTGACTTATAAGTGAAAGCTTTATTGCATCATGAGAAAGCATCTACTCGACCCCCTTCTCACGGTTGTGGTGCGCCCTTCCCAATAATTGCGATGTTAGTGCTTTTAAAATTTTCAAAGTATGAACCATTATCAACTAGTTTGCCTTTCCATTTTGCGTCAAGTCCACGCTTCCTGACAAAGGTTACAATGACAACGGTGGTGACAGCGATGACATCACACAGGCCCATGCAGCAGGTGAAAGTACATAAACGAACGATACAAGTCCCGTGGAAGTGTCACAGTTCTGTGTACTCACATGGTCGAGTCTGTTTACCATGTAGCACACACTAGATAGTGTTACTTGGTAGCTTGCGTTACCTGGTGGCTTGCTTCCTTTTACCATTTGTGAATGGAATAAATTGGATGCGTGTGTTGTTGATCTTCCATCCGATGCTTTTTGTTCGTCACTACAATATTTGTGCTTTTTCTGAATGCGCAGGAGCTGCTGCGCAAATGTATGCCATTTTTGACGGCGCAACGTGCGCTTTGTTCGACAGTAATACTGCATTTTTTTCCCTTGCCCCCCTACAATAATGCCCACTTGGGTGATGTAGGTTGCACTAATAAACATTAAACACTTGAGAGCTAAACACTTGAGACTGGTCGGTAACAAATAGACTGTAAAGAATTATCTGTCTTGCGCTAAAGAAAGTGAGGTGCCATTTTCTTACTAACAGGGCCCCAGCAACATATTGTGGCAAAAAACCCCTTACCAAAAAATTTTGTGTCAGTGCCCCTTAAGGTACCACACAGAAGTTTAGCAGTCTGATGAGACACATGGATATGTGAAGTACTAGGGATAACCACATTTATGTGCAGTACTGCATTTATAAGTCATGTAATTGGAGCAACTAACACATCAATTTCTATGATTAGTCTTGCAGTTTTTTTTCCCTCCACGTAGGATATTAATTGCTACAAGAATGAATAATTGGACCAGAAAGGGTTAAACAAGGCTGCCTGTAAGAGCTCAAATTTAAGGTAGAAGTTGAGAGGAAGATGGCAGCTTGAAGAGACAAAAAAATCCTTGCAACATGTGGTGCCACTGACAGCAACCTGCTGCCTTGAAGAAGAAAGACAACACCACTTGTCGAAACATTTGGTCCAGTGCCACCCTGTGTTCCAAGAATTTTTCATGTTGAAGATTCAGGCACAAAAAAAAAAGAAAAAGGAATGTGAACACTTTTATGAAATGCAGGCAGTGTCGCAAGCACTTAAACACTTGT